CTATCTCTTTCTGGCGAGCGCAAGCGCCCCTTAGCTAAAAACCCCTCAAAAAAAAAAAAAAAAAAAAAAAGGGTAGGAGTTTATTTAGGTGCGAAAAACCAAAGATCCATGTATAGTTTTTTTTTCTTTGTGTTAACATGCATGTCTATGAATTTTTGAAGATACTTTGCTATCACTTACTACCTTCAAAGTTCGTTGTTTTTTAGTTTGCTAGAGGGCATATTTATCTGCAAGAGGCAGAGAGAGAGAGAGACAGACAGACAGACAGACAGAGAGGGAAAGTGAAAAAAGACACCCCATGGGATATGGCTGTGCTGCAATCCCTCTTCTCCATTCCCTTCTCCCCAGAGTTTTGGGCATGCGTGCACATGCATCTGGTGGGTTTTTGCAGTTGGCTGAGTCTTGAACTTGAACCCCATGTCCAACAATGTGGTATCTAGCCACCTTAACCAAGGCCATGGACTAGCTCTCAAAGAATTTTAAAACAATAGTGACAGTGAAAAAAAGGAAATACTCATCCAGCAATTACCGGATAGTGGTAAGAACTGTGCAATTCACATAAGCCATACATATTCAACATAGACATACAAATGTATAAAATTTCAACCTCTTGTCTAATATTTGAGGTAGGAACTATTGTCCTCATTTTATAGATTTAATGGAAATAAAGCTACTGGCAAATAACTATTTCCTATATGTTTTTAGCCCCTCTTTCTTTATACATATTTTACCCATTCCAATTCAGTGTTAATATTTAAAGAGATACTATATCTTTTAGGACTTAATGCTTACTTTTGCAGTTCAATGCTTTTGTCTCGTTCTGCTTTAAGTTTCCTTTCCTTGTTTTCAAATTTTTCTTTTGCTTCTTTTACTTGTGTTTCAAGATGACACAGAAGTTCTCCTTTATCATGCCACTTCTGATTAAGTGTACTAATATGAAAAGATGTAATTTAAAAAGAAAATTGCATATATGAAATGATTATGCCATATTTTCTTTCTCAATGAGAAATACTACAAAATACCTGTAAGCTTTTCTAATTTCTTCAAGTTCTAATTCCTTCACTTTCAATTGTTGCTTTAGTTTTTCTTTTCTTTCGTTGTGCCTTTCCAATTTCTCAAGTACATTATCCAGTTGCGAAGACTTTTCATCAAGTTGTTCTTGAGTACATTTTTCTACGTCAGTAATCTTTTCTTGCAATGTTTTAATTTTTTCTTCTTTTTCTTGTAAACACTTCAAGGAAAAAAAACCAGCACTTTATTTTTATTAAAATTGAATGGTTCATATTATGGTTCATTAGATATAGTTTACATTATCCTTTGAAAGGACTTTAAACTCAAATATTAATTTTCTTGTGACTCTAAGCCCTTTCACTGATACAGAGTATTTCTAGTTATTTCAAAGGCCATAATAAAATTCTCCATAAACATTTGAAATAAAATTATTAGTTTTAAGTGAATATCATTCTGCACTTCTGAGAGCAAATGGCAAATATTATAAAAGAAAATACATGATAGTCTGTCCTGAGTTCTACAACAGCTGAGAATCACTGAACAAATGTTTTTTAGATTTGCAACAGATTTTCAAATCTACCATCCCTTCTTTTCCAAAAATATCAACTTATGTCTTTTTTGTTGTTGTTTTGCCATAAGGAGTGTGTGCTCTCTGGAGAGGAGACAGAAAAAGACAGAGAGAGGTAAAGAGTTAAATCACCCCCCAGGCAGAATGGCTAAATCACAATCTTTTCTCCTCCATTCTCTTCTTGGGATTTTGGGCATGCACATACACATGCATGCACATGTGCCTGGTGTGACTTTTCAAGTCACTGGGTCTGGAACTCAAACCATAGTCAGCTATATGGGAATCCAGCCACCTTAACCACCATGCCACTTGCTGGCCCCATCGACTCACATCTTTTAATTTCCTAATGGTTTCAGTTTGGTCCTCTATTATTTTGCACTTTATTCTTAATGCATCACTATCACTTTCATTTGCCTTTCGCAGAGATTCATTCTCTCTACATAAACTTTCAATTTGGGCCTCTAATTTTCCACGATTTTGGGCTAGAGAAGATCCTAAGAAAGAAACAACATCAGTTACAAACTTTAATAAATTGGGAATTACTGTATTTAATAAAAATGTAATTTAACAATGCATAATATAGTAAATTAAAAAAAAAAACAAACTGGAAAGACACAAAGCATCTAATAAATAGTATAGATGAAGAAAGGGAAAGAAAACAAAAAGCTCTTCGAACCACCTGTGGTTACTTAAAGACCGAAAGCCATGGATAAAGCCAGAACAAGGATCTTATATGTACAATGTATAACTCATGGCATTCAAACAAATGAAATCATATTAAAAATTCTTACGGAGAAAAAATAAATGAGCAATGCTCTATTAAGATCAACAGCTAGCTATTCCTGATTTTTAATGTATCTACAAATGACACAAAATAACATATATCCTTGGCTGTCTAATGACTGGAAAAAGAATAAGCCTGACAGTTTACCTAAACCTAAAGCGGTTTTCATTCATACACTATTTTACATTTTCTATGCCCTACAGTATAAACATCATAAATATCTGAAGAAAATATCAAATGGTATATTCTGTACAAATAATTTAAAACCACTGTATAAGAATTATTTTTAACAAGTTGTTTAGTTACAACATTGTAAAAGTATATATAGTTCAGGAAAGTGACCAAATTATCCTGGGAAGAGTGCAAACAAATAAACCAGCTTCTAACTTCCTTTCTGGCATAATGAACAACTTCCTGTTTCCTGAGAGGATTCTTTCTATTTAGCTGGCAAACTAACATGTCGGCTCTCTTGGCTCTCTAGGCAGTTTATCCCTTCCTCTTCTCTCGGATGACCACATTTCTGTTTGGTAACAATGGCTATTTTCCCTCTAAAAATCTGAGTGTTTTACCCTGTTGTGCCAGCTCCTGTCCCCATACTTTTCTTTCTGTCCTTAAACCAAAAATTAGTGATTCCTTGGCTGCTAGCTCAGAAATAAGTTGAACTTTTTCTTGCTTGAGAAGTTCTATTTGAATACTCTTCTGTTTGTCATCTTCAATCAAAATTTCAAGAGTGTTGATTTGATTCTGTAGCCATCCCAAAAAAAGAAGAAAAAAAGAAAACTATTATATTAAAGAGCTTCTTTATTGTCTATTTTTTTATTAGAGTATTATTTAAGCAAGTACAAAATACTGCCAAGTTTTATATCAAGTTTTAATTTTATTAACTAAAGATAAGTGTGTATCATGACTTAAAAAATCAAATTTTAAGCTGCTATTCCTTCAAATATTCTAAAATGTATTCTATAATCGTATAAAGCAACTTTACCTATAAATACTCAAGTTTTTGCATGAAACATTTCTATCAATAGTCTATGAAAGTCACTATCCAGAATTAAGTTATCTTGGGCAAAACAGCATTTATTTAAAACTGATTCAACAATAAAGACATTAATGTAAACATTATCATAGCTAAGATATTTAAAAGCCATCAGCACAACTACCACCACCACAAAATTAATATCATGAATCTGAGTGTTATTTCCCAAACTGTAACTATTTGACTATCACCTTTACAATTTTTGTTGTGTCACTGTACAATTGGTTCCTAAAAAACAAACATGTTTCTTAAAATTAACTATAGCTTATTTTACTATGTTAATGTAAACAAATCTGTGAAATAATAAATTTAATCTCCTTAGCTGTTTTACTTCTCAACCTCATCACAATATATTAGTATCATTTAGAAGTTCATTTTGTATACTTTCTAAAATTCTTAACACACACTTGTGAAAATGATATAAAAAAATGAAAAAGAAAATATAATTTACAAATCTTACCTGTAAATTTGCTGCTGTTTCCTGTTTCAATTTGGAAACTTCTGCGAGTTTTGATTTTTGTTCCTTCACCATACAGGTAAGATCTTTAATTAAAGAAGAAGACTCATTTTCTTTTCGTTGGGCCCAAACAAGAGCATGTTTACTCTTCGCTAACTCAGTTGCAACACTTTCAAAACCATCTTTAACCTGTATTTCAAAATTGCATTATAAACAGCAGTTCTCCAAGTAATTAGAAAATATTTGCTTCTAGAAACAGTTTACATGTTCATATTTAGATTCAGAGTTTTAGCAAAAGATTAAAATTCAGAGGTAATTTTTTTTTTGGAGAGGTTTTTCACTATAGGGCGCGTGCGCTCGCCAGACAGACAGAGAGAGACAGAGAGACAGAAAGCGAGAAATCACCCCCCAGGGGGAATGGCCACACCGCAATCCCTTTTCCTCCATTCTCCTCTTGATATCTTGAGCACACAGGCACGCACGCAAACATGTCTGGTGTGAGTTTAAGACACCAGGTCTGGAACTCAAACCACGGTCTACTACATGGGAGTCCAGTGACATAGCCATTGCGCTAGCTGCTGGTTCCCAGAGATAATTTTTTTCAATCCACCAACTTCCAGATGATGAAAGAGACCCAGGCTGGTTAAACATTTGCCCAAAGTGACTCAGGGAGCTAAGTATCAGATCTATAACCATAGTTTTTTAATTCCACAAACATTGCCAGACATTGTTCTAGGTATTGGAATGCATTGGTAAACGACAAGGACTAAAATGTTTGGCTCTGTAAGGTTTAGGGAAGGACCAATAATACAACAATAAACACAGTAAATGAAACATCCCATTAAATGCTATTATATTCTAGGGCAAAAAAGACTGGAGGAATGTCAGGAATTAGGAGATACAGACTCAATTGCAAATGGCGAAATCACTTAAGTCACTCCTGCAGCAATGGCTTGAAATATGGAGGTAAGAAAAATGGAGGTAAGGAAATAAGTTATACAAATATGTGAGGAAAAAAAGTCCTAGGAAGAAATGTGCCAGGAATGGCAGAAGAATGGCAAGGAGGCTGGTGTCACTGGAATGGCATAAGTAAAAGGGAGGATTGTAAGTGATGCAATCAGAGGGTTACATTAGGATGAATTTCAATAGTACTCCAAATAGAACAAGACATGGATCTCTAAGGAGTCATGTCATTCAAGTGATTCAACTTAAATTTGGGCTAGCAAGTAGTGTGGTGGTTAAGGTGCTGGACTCCCACATGTGGTTTGAGTCTCAGACTTGGGGGCTTGCTTTCTCACTTTTCTTCTCTCTCTAGTGAATTAAAATAAAAAACAATAAGAAATAAAACTAAATACTTAAAAAAATTATTAAAAAAATTTTTTGTATTACATTTAATCACATATCTTTATCATGTATAACATTTTTCTTTCCAGCATGATTACCATGCATATCAGTGAAGGCAAAGATATTACTATTCACATCATCATCATCATCAAATAACTTTTAATTATTTTTTCAGTTTATCATTATTATTTTTTATCTTTATTTTTTTTTTAAACATTCAATCACTATACATCATTTGGCTTGTAAAGAGAATTTACCTAACATAAAATATTTCTCTGACCAGTACAGTTGAGAATATTATACATGTTATCATTAATAGGTAATAAATCATTTTTGTGTCCCACAAATGTCATGGCTCTCTATTTAAAATGTTTTTTGAAAAAGAACATCAGAGCTGCTGCATTTAACATGAAAGGGAAGGATAAGGGTGGAAGCAAGAAGACCAATTAGAAAGCTATTAAAATAATGCAGATGAGAGACGGTGTGGTGTGACTTACACCATGATGGCAGTAATAGAGGTGCTAAGAAATGGCCACATACATTTTTTAAATAAGAGTGACAGGATTTCTTAAATATAATCACCAGATATTGAGAGCTAGAGAAAGAGAAGTCAACAGTGACTCTAATTTGGCCTCAGCACATAGAAGGATGGAGCTGCCATTAAGAGAAGGAAGGACTGTTGAAGTAGAAAAGCCACAGAAAGCAAATACACATTTTTGAGGTCTGCTGTAAACAGAAGTAGAGAAACAATGTGGTAGCCAAAGAGGATACCCAGGGCTGGACCTCTAGTGCAGTGGTAGCTCTGTGCAGAGGGACCAGATCCCACATGGCCACCAGTTGTCTGAAACTTGGTCCTTGCAGCTTGAAAAACACATTGAATGAATCCTGACAGGATGGAGAAAAAGAAGAACAAGTATTTGGCTATGTTTATTTTTTTTTTTCCTCTCTGTCTCTCTCTTTTTTTTTTTTTTTTTTTTTTGGGAGGTTTTTGCTTTTCTTTTTTTTTTCCTCTCTGTCTCTCTTTTTTTTTTTTTTTTCTTTTTGGAGAGGTTTTTGCTATAGGGCGCGTGAGCTCGCCAGACAGAGAGAGACAGAGAGACAGAAAGCGAGAAATCACCCACCGGGGGGATGGCCACGCTGCAATCTCTTCTCCTCCATTCTCCTCTAAGGATCTTGGGCACGCACGCACGCACGCACACGCACCCGGCGTGAGTTTAAGCCACCAGATCCGGGGCTTGAACCGTGGTTGACTATGTGGGAGTCCAGCAACATAGCCATTACGCTAACTGCTGGTCCCTCTCAATGTCTCTTTTAATTGCAAATATTCTCTGGCAATTAACGAAAAAAGGTTAAAAAAAAAAGTTTTCTTGAGAGAAATCATGTTTTTTCCCTGAAAGGAATGATCCAACACAGCTGGAAAAACTAATGGTAAGAGAGCAAGAGAGATGGGCTGAAGCCATACTCTTGAGTAGACAAGAAGAAATGGGATCTGTGCATATGGGTAGACCAGCTTTGATAGCAAGACAGTTCTTCTATAGTAGAGGTTGCCAAACTTTCTTTTATAAAGAGTCAGACAGCAAACTGTTGGGCTTCACGGGCCAGACCAAACGGTCTGTTTTAAGACCTCTACTCTGCTTTTTTAACACAAAAGCATCCAAAGATAACATGTAAACCAATGAGTATAGTTCTGTCCCAGTAAAACTTTACTTAAAAAAGCATGCAGTGGGCCATTTTTGGCCTATGGCTTTTAGTACTATCAAGTTGTGCTCTATAGTAATAAAAAATCAGGTTCCCAAATTCCTATTCCAGGGCTCTCTTTACTTCACTATTTATAATCTTTGTTTTTATAATTGCAATGAAGAGTAGCTATTACTTATGTGACAAAACTAAGGCTGTAAGAATTCATGTAACTGGGGTCACCTGCTGGTGGTTAAGACGCTGGACTCCCCACATAACTGACTGCAATTTGAGTCATGGACCTTGCAGCTTGCTTTCTTACTTTTCTTCTCTCTTTCTTCTCTCTCACTCTCTCTCTCCCTGGTGAGTACATGTGCCCTAGCAAATTAAATAATAATGATAATAACAATGATAAATAAAATTAAACACATTCTTAAAAAAAAAGAATTCATGTATCTGCTTAGGACCATACAGCCAATATGTAAGGCACTAGAAATTTAAAACATAGTCCTCTCATCAAATCACATCTTGCTGATTCTGCTTTCAATTAAGAGTTAGATGCCAATTCTTACATTTTTAAACCTTTTGGCTTCAACCGTTAGAGCAATACGGAATTCATTTTCTAAATCCATATACTGTTGGTTTAATACTTCAATTTTCTCTTGGTATTCTTTTATTTCCTGTTCATGCTTTCTCTCTTCTTTGGCTATTTCTTTAGCTAAGGCATCCTGGAACTCAGCTTCACTAAAAAACTCCCTTGTTTCAAGATCTTTCCTGGAATGAAAAAACAAACAAAAAACAGTTAAAAATCAAAGGATGATATTTACTTGAAAAGACAAATTTTAAGAGTTTTAAAATAGCTCTCGTATTGTGTTGTTGGAAAGTCAGGACGCATTTTTGCAAAGAAAAATTGGTCATGACTTTTCTGATGACCCAATAAAAAAATCAGTTCCTCCTTTTCAAACACATTCGGCACAGCTAGATTCAGGAAGAATGAGTTTTATTTGACTATGTATTCAGTGGTGACAGGCATAATAGGAATATGTCAAATCCTAATTCACTGGGACAGTTCAGAATCATTCTACCATTTCTCAGCTTCTCTACGTGTCTTTGTGTAAGCTCTGCTTCACTGTATCTCCTACTTCAGTTGAATCTTTAACAACTGATGAATGCAATCTGATTGGCACTGGTGGTTGATTAACAGAAAGTCTCCTAGGGCCAGCTCTGTGGCCTGGTGGTTAAGGCATCCAGATACTACATGGCCAACCCTGTGATTCGAGTCCTGGACCTGGCAGCTTGAGAAACATGCCCCCAAACCCAACAGGACAGAGAAAAATGGGATTGTGGTGTGGCCATTCCCCATAACGGGTGCTTTGTCTTTTACCCCTCTGGCAAAAAATATATAAAAAATTAAGTACATCCACTGGTCCCAGAGTGTGAATTTATTGATGAATCTTTCTTTTTTTCAGAGAGAGACAGAAAGACAGACAAACAGAAAGATACACAGGTTTCCCCAATAGAGTCTTTGATCTGTGATCCACTGCCAGCCTTACGCAGCCAGGTTATGGCTGTAGGTATGTGTGCCTGGTATGTTCAGGAAAGCCCCTGGATGCAAACCCTGGACCTTCCCATGTGGGGCTAGTTGTGTTGGCAATGTGCTATCAAATGCACCCTATTTACCTTTTGAAGTAGAGCCACTTTTTAATTTAAATATGAGTTCGTATTTTAGAGTTCTCTACTATTTTTCTTGCATAAATCCAAACTTAAAATGCAAAAATCCATTTATTAGTTTTGGTTTCTTTTTCTTTAAAGAGAGATTTTGCTAAAGGGTGTATGTACTCACCAGAAAGACAGAGTGATAGAAAGTGAGAAATCACTCCCTAGAGGGAATGGCCACACCATAGTCCCTTCTCTCGGGATTTTGGGTACACACTCACACATGCCCAGCATGAGTTTTAAGCTGACAAACCGTGGTCAGCTACATGGGAATCCAGCGACATAATCCAGCTGCTGGTCCCAGTTTGGTTTCATTAAACTTGAATAAAAACTTAAAAGACATCTGAAAAGGAAATTAAATACAAAAATTCTAGATTTTTATAATCATTTCCCCTAATCTTATGTAACTATCCCTCCTACACAATGGCATTTTCCGCAATGGCATTGAAATTATTTCAGGCATTCAAAACTTATGTAAGTACAAATAAAAAACAAAAAAAACCCAGGTGGGAATAAATATAATTAACCCATGGTAGTCATACAATTCAACTGGTAGGGCAGTTAAGTAGATAACTAGTTGAAAAATTTTCTATTATTATAAGCTCCATAAAGCAGGAGTAGGCAAGCTGCAATTTCGTGCTGATAACTTTTCCTTTTAAGTAAACTTTTATTTAAAAAAGCCATACTTATTTGTTTATTATTATCTATGGCTACTTTTATGCCATAAAGGCAAGGTTAGGTGTGGTCTGCAAAGTCTAAAATATTTTCTGTGTGACTGTGTATCAATGAGCTAATTCTTTTGAATTTTACCAAGGTTCCTTAAGTGTCTTTAAATATTGGAGATCAGCACCTTTCTTTTTCTATTTTTAGATGTCAATGTTTTCCTGGTATATTTTTCATTTACCTGTGTTCTTGCTCTTTCAATGCAATAAGTTCATGAAGTTGTTGCACTTGTTCCTTTTCTTGATGAAGAGAAGTCCTCAGTAAGTTTATTTCTCTATCAGCAGCTGAAGCTTTAAGCTCCACCTCTTGGATAAGTCTTATCTGAGTGAAATACACACAATTACAATTTTTTAAAAAGAAGTACTTTATTTAACTTTATTTAATTTGACCAGAGAAGGAAGAGAGAGAGAGAAAGAGAGAAAGCAAGCCACCAGGATCGGGACTTGAACCACGGTTGGCCATGTGGGAGCCCCATGCACTAACCACCATGCCACCTGCTGGCTCCATACACATAATTACAATATTTAGGTAATTATCTTCTATTTTAATGCCAGGTCCCATAAGAAAAGTACCTTATAGAAGACAGGACCTAGCAACTAAGTTCATTAAATTAACAATACTAAAATTACACAAAAATATAGCCTTGGAAACATCATATAAACATTAACTATTGCTTGCTTGTATCACAGATGTTAATTATAATTTCCACTTATAAGGTATGAAAATGAAGTTTCTGTTTCACCTACGGACTTTTAAAACTAACTTTCTAGAATACAAGCGAAACTGCCTGCATCATTTCTACCAGCTCTTGTAATTGCTTTGTGTAAGTGCTAGTGGCCTTAATAATTTCACAGGCTACATGATTATTATGTTTCAATTAACAATAATTTAATTGTTTTAAAAATGTTGTCAAAGAACGCATCTGCCTTGCTGGAGAGAGACAGAGAGAGAGGGAAAGTGAAAAGCACGCTCCGACAGGGAATTGTCTTCATGCTGCAATCCCTTCTCCTCCACCTCTTCCTCTTTTCAAGATTTTGGGCAAGAACATGCATGCATCTGGCGTGTTTTGCAAGCTACCTGGATAAGGACTTAAACCATGCAGTTAGTCATGTAAGATCCAGCTGCCTTAATCATACCACTAGTTGCCCCAATACTAATTTAACTTTTGCATATAGACTAGTATCTTTTAGGTTTACTTTTAGGTTTACTATGTGATAGTCTGTGCTAGTACGGAAGCTTTGAATTTACGTTAACCCATGTCACTCATACATTAAAATAAGAGAAATACCTGTGCTGCCTGCTGCTGCCTTTTTTGTCTCTCCAATTTTTCTAGTGCTTTTTCCAGGGTTCGTAAGTGTCTAAGGTGATCATCTTGTTGATCTCTTGCTTTAATTAATTCGATAGTTAGTTTTTTTATTTCATTTTGAAGTCTGTGAACCATAATTTCGAGTTGAGTTTTGGAACTTCTCTCTCTAAGAATAATTTCTTTTAGCCTAAAGAGAAATGATAAAATTACATCGATGTTAAAGCTGACAGTAGAGAGCCAGCCAGGTAGCATGGTGGGAAGGGTAGCTGGATCACACATAGCTGAGTGTGCAGTTACAGATCTTGGCAGCTTGGAAAATATTCTGGGCACATACGCATGGGTGCCCAAAATCCTGAGAGGAGAATGGATGAGAAAGGACTGTGGCCATCCCCCAGGGGGTAATTTTTCACTTTTCCTCTCTATCTCTGGCAAGTGTCCATGTCCTATAGCAAAAACTCAAAAAAGAAAAAAGAAAGTTGATAGAGATGTTTTGATGTTACAAACTCTAATTACAGTAAAAAAAAAAAAAAGCTGAAAAACAGTATCAGATTCCTTTCTTCTATTCCTCAAATCAACTTTGCATCCAAAAGAAAAAGAATCTACATAAATTAATAAAATTTTATGGAAAATTTATGATTTAATAGCAAAACTTTACTAAGTACCTAATTTGTTCCAGGTATTATGTTAGATGTGGACTTACAAGCGAGCAAGTCAAATGTCAAAAAAGACATAGTCTCTGACTTCAAGATGCTTCTACCTATCAATATTAGAGGAAGCAGGCATGGATGCACTTATAAAGCATGTGATAGAAGGGCTACATGAATGACAATCTGGAGGCAAACTTGATCCTGCTTTATATTAGTTAGAATCCTTTGATTAAAATGAAAACTCGACTATTTTTTTTCTTGAAACTTTTTAAATTAATGTACATTCATCCCCTAATCATCGTCACAGCATACAAAAAGTGGTTTCCCATCCAGAATATATTGCACAGTGGCTTAATCATGTATGTTATCATGGATAATTTTCCATTTCTAGTTTCACATATATGTATGTGTGTATAAATATATTTACCCCCCATGTCTGACCCTGTGCCCTTTCCCACCCTCTTCTCACACTGTCTCTGGTGTCTACAGTTGTCTTCCATTCCTTTCCCCCCTACTTTTTATTGATCACACAATTTCTTAAATAATCTAACTATTTTCAATAGCAAGTTCAGCTGGTAATTTCAAGAAAAGCAGTTTTGAATTAATAAGGAAATTTGCTTAAAACTTAAAGCCTGGAAACAGGTTAGTATTCTGTTCAAATGGTAGGTACATGAACCTATCCATATCTCAAGACAGGACACATATCCTTACAACTAGATAACAAAGTTTACAAAAAAATCAGCAAGCAATGTTTTAGTCAAGTCATAAAATTATACTTCACCAATTCAGTCTCCATACTGACCTACAACCTAGATTGATATATTAAGCTGTAACCTAATTTAAAAGTATTCTCTGGTATTCTATCAATAGCAACTAAGCTTCAGCTAATCATAGCAGCAAAGATTTGGGCAACCACAGGCTGCCAAATGACTAGAACATATAAATGTAAGACAAATGTCAACTAAAGTCAATCAGATAGATTGGTTTTGCATGTCACTTCCTTGGTTTGTATGTCACTTCCATTTCTCTGGCTATAAATCTGGCCTGTGCACGTGGTTAAGCAAAGCATTCTGAATCAACTTTAGTCCCAGAAATGCTGCCCAGTTCTAGAGCCTATGTCTTGCTCAATTAAACACTGTTAAATTTAACTTGTTTCACATTTTTCTCTCAAACCTAGGATAAAGGTGAAGTCTGCCTAAAGCCTTCCAATTTAAATAGGATCTGGCTTGTAGTCCCAGGTGGAACTTCCTTTATTATTCTATTGAGTAATATCTACAATATAGAGAAAGCAAAAGTTCATCCACAAACAACTAAAAACAAAAGACAACACAATGACAACATCTGGGAAGACTTTATAGCAAATGGAACTGAATTAAAATTAAAACTCCTAGAACACTTAATTTTGTCTCATGAAGCCCTTTCATTCTGAAAAAAGGACATTATATCTTCTCTTTCACTGTCTCTATGACTGGGTCACAAGTCTCTATAAATCTGTCATTGTATGTTAGTTACCTAGGCACCTATTGTAAGCAAGTCTTTTTCTGAGATACTCAAAGCACTGTTAATTTATCCATCCTGTTCCTTCATCAGTTTTTCTTTTCACAGACAGGAATTACCAAAACATAAATGAGGCAGGAAATGGTGGGGTGGTGGTGTAAGAACTGGTCTTAACATAGTGCATGACAGTTTGCACAATTACAGAGGTTTTTATAGCAGACATGTTGGGTATTACAATTTTTCTTATACACTAGATACCACATACAAGAGAAGCAAGTCATATATCAAGTCAGTATCATAAAATGTTATCAATTAAATGCATAAAAGAAGCTGGAAATTGGGCTGGGAGCTGCTGTATTAACTTACTATAAAATTAGATGACAGAAGGAGAATTACCTCCTCTATAATCGACAAAATGAACCATGAGCAACTCCCAAACCCTATTGATTGGCAAATACCATGTCTTGAAACCTAGTATTCACTCAAGGATAAGAGAAGAAAAAATGAGAATTTTACTAAAAAAAGAGTTGTAACTATTTGAGGAAAAGTAAACCTTTAGAAATAATTATTTAGAGGGGCTAGAGGATGGCACAGTGGTTAAGGCACTGGACTCCATGTGAAGAACTGCAGTTTGAGTCCCGGACAGGGCGGCTTAAAATTCATGCCGGGCATGTGTATATGTGTATGGGCACGCATTTGTGTGCACCTAAAATCCTGAGAGGAGAATGGAGGAGTAAGGATTGTGGTATAGGAAAAAAAAAATTTCGTTTTAGAAAATTATTTCATATCTTTACAGAACAGAGTAAGATAGACTTTTGTTAAAGAATGCAATAAAAACATAAAATTGAAGATGGAATGGACAATAAAAATCAAAATAATAGAAATCCAGGCTATCTGATACCAAAGTTCACAGTGGAAGAAAAGTATGTAACAAGAGATCACATATGACCCACAAAGTTCAAAGCAAAAAACTGCTAATTACTGCTTTTGCTGTTCTTTATTTACAATACTTACCTGTCTGACACCTCCCAGAGAAGTATTCCCAGAATTCATCATTTATGTAAGAAGCTTAAAAAGCATTACATCTTCTAATAAAATCAGGTCACTCAAACTAAAATCACTTATGCTGCTTTGATCACAGTACAGTCAGTAGACTAAGTTTAGACTAAGGTAGTCTTTCAATAGTTCCAAGCTCAATATTCTTTAGGCTGTGAGTTATCTTTAGGTTTACATAAGTTTCCCTTACCTGTCTGTGGTAAGTAGAGCCAAGCTATGAACATCTTGTCTTTCACTCGTACGCTTATGTAGTTCATCAATATAATCCATAAGTTTCTTTTCCGCTTGTTCAGCTTTCCATCTCTTTTCTCTCTCTTGGTCTAGCTGTTCAACAAGAGACTGAAAGAAAACAATGTTACATACTTAGAAAAACTACCTAAATTCTCAATTTTCTTATATATAATAAGAGAATAATAGTACCTACTTCAAAGAGCTGTGGTTAGAATTAATACGAGTATACAGAACAGTGCAGCGCAGTGCTTGCCACATAAAAACCTCTCAGCAAAGGTCAGTTGCTATCATAATTACTGTGATAATCATAATTGCTATTTTTCTCAATACTGAGCATTTAGAAAATTTCATATTTTTACAGAATAGAGTAAGACAGACCTGTGTTAAAGAATGCAATAAAAAAACATAAAAAAGGGACCAACAGTTAGCATAATGGCTATGTTGCTGGACTCCCACATAGTTGACCGCGGTTCGAGTCCCAGACCTGGTGGCTTAAACTCACGCAGGGCGTGTGTACGTGCGTGCCCAAGATCCCGAGAGGAGAATGGAGGAGAAGGGATTGCGGCATGGCCATTCCCCTTGGGGGGTGATTTCTCGCTTTCTGTCTCTCTGTCTCTCTCTGTCTGTCTGGCAAGCGCATGCACCCTATAGCAAAAAAGCCTCTCCAAAAAAGAAAAAAAAAGAAAAAGAAAAAAAAAACATAAAATAGAAGATGGGATGGACAATAAAAACCTAACTGAGACTAAGAGGAAGAAACCAGTGTCATGAAAATTTTTGTTTCTAAGAGAAACAAAATGAAATTTTTGTTTCTAAGAGAGATTTTTTTCTATAGGGCACATGTACTCGCTGGAGAGAGAGACAGAGACAGAAAGTGAGAAGTCATCCCCTAGTGGGGATGGCCACACTGCAATCCCTTCTCCTCCATTTTCCCCTTGGGATTTTGGGCATGCATGAACACATGCCTAGCGTGTTTTAAGCTGCCCAGTCTGGAACTCAAACCATCATCAGCAACATGTGAGTCCAGTGACATAACTGTTATGCCACCTGCTGGTCCTAGTGTGAAAAATTTTAAAAGGCAATTCTATTATTGGAAGAACAGTACACAATTCGATCAAAAGAATAAACACTATTTTAGCAAGTATAACAAAGGCAAATTAATTAAAATGTAAAATAACAAGTCAACATGTATATCAAATTCTTGACAACATGAGAATTGTTAAGGCAAATATTTAAGAATTTTAAAGTCCTCAGTATCTCTTAATCTGGGATCCACGGGTCTAAAACTGAGTTTCAGGAGGATCCATGAAAACCCTGACGTTTTATACACTTTGTATGTGTGTGTCAAATTAGATTTCTTTCTGGACAATGCTTTTAGATTTCCATAGATATTTAAAAAGTTCTGACATTCAAAAATCCAAGGAACCACTACTTTAGGAAATTAAAAATATAAAGACTCAGAACTGTTTCTCTGTCTACGAGCATAAATAATTTCAACTAAACTTAATCTTAAATATGTAATTTCCATTCCTTTAAAAATTACAAAAATAGTAATATCATACAATCAAATAAGGAAAACCCATTTTCATAATTCTAGTAAAATTACAATGTACTTTTTGTCATAAAAACATGCAGTTTTTCTGGGACCTTGAATTTAAAACAGAGAATATTCATACTCAGTTTTCCTCTTAAGAATTACTTTATTTTTAACTTTATTTATTTATTCTAATTTGACCAGAGAGGGGTGAGAAAGCAAGTTGCCAGGCCAGGACTAGAACTGCAGTTGGTCATGTGGGAGTCCAGCACCCTTAACTAGCACGCAACCAGCCAGCCCCTCAGTTTTTCTTAATCCCAAGTCATACCCGGTAAGTGTTGTCTTCTGAGCCACTTCTGTCTGCTTTAATGATTTCGGTCTTCTGCACTTCTGATTCTGGTAATACATTACAGCTTGCTAAAGATGTACTTACATATAATTCTTTAAGGTAAGGCTGTTTCATTTTACGATTACAACTGCAACAAATAAAACATAAATTCATGTTTATACTACTTTCTTCAAACAGTAATACTTGTAGTCATGTACAACAGTTTTTTAAAAAAATGTTATTTATATATTTATAAATTTTTTGCTATAGGGTGTGTGCACTTGCCCGAGAGAGAGAGTGTAAGAAAGAGAAAGTGAGAAATTGTCCTCAAGGTAGATGGCACACTGCAACCCTTTTCCTACATTATCCTCTCGGAATTTTGGGCACATACACACATGAGCCAACATGTAAAAAAGGTTATTTATTAAACAAAATAACAGTAACTTGGACAAAGTGCTACATGAATCTGATAATGGGTTTGTTGATTAATGAGAATGTCAAGACTTTTTAAAAAGAATTATTTTATTTATTTATTTGCTTATTTTAATTTAACCAGAGAGGGAGAGCAAGAGTGAGAACGAGAGAGAGAGAGAGAGAGAGAGAAAGTGAGAAACAAGCCACTAGGTCCAGGACTCAAACAGTAGCCGGCCCTGTGGGAGTCCAGTGCCCTTAACCACGCCACCTGACGGCCGGCCCCAAGACTTTTAAAAAGAAACAAACAGTGGAATTTAAGCTTTATACATTAATTTAACAACGTAGGCAATGACTCAGAGAAGGAATCTCAATATAAATATTTGTGAATGTACCAAGCAAACCTGAGCCAACAAAGCTGAAAAGTTACATCTTTGACCTTAGTAATAAGTATCACCATGAGATAGCTTTAACTTCTATCCTCCTTATTTCAATTTCTGAAACTAAAAGAAGTACCTTACAAAAGGGTTGGTATTTTTACTGTGGTGCTTAATAGTTTGAATAGTTTTGGCATAATACGGGATTCTGGATCTCCGAGGAACTCTTCTATTACATTCTTTTCTGTTTCCAAAGTCACTTTCAGAAGTTACATCTGTGTCTCTTTTTGGTCTGAGGTCTTTCTCGGGAACATTATTATCTACTAAAGAATTAGAAGTCTAGAATAAAAATAACAATAAAAGTTTATTAAAAGTTCAATTCAGTATAAAAAAGATTGGCATTTGAAAATTTTATAAAATATTACCAGCTTTTGTAAGATTAGGGGTTTATTAATTAGATGTGTTTGAAATTAAAAACCGGGAATTCAGTTTTTGATACGAGCAAGGTTTACTGGGTTGATGCTCCCACAAATAGCAATGATAAGCAATGGGAAAGATACAAACAAAAGAAGAAAACAAACAAATCTAAAAATCTTGGACAGTAAACAAAAGTTAGATTATTGTAGAGGGGAGCTGTTATTTGGAAAAAATGAGCCAGAATGGGGAGCTCCTGTTTTTACAGTTTTTAGCCATAGAATGTATGAGAATGTTTTACAATCAGCATCATGCAGGCAGAGTCTAAATAAACCTCTGAAAAGAAAAAACACAAACTTACACCTGAAGAACCACAGGGTACGAGGTAGACTTTGAGTAGCCCACTAAGGGATATAAAAAATCAAATTCAATCTGCTGAGAACATTATAGAATTACAGTTTTAGCCAAACCAAGTTAAATGCTTAATAGCACAAAGGTGTCAATGCTCTTTGGAGGACTGTAACAGAATCTAGAGTCTCTCCAACATATTTGCCATGTCTAGAACGCACTTCAAAATTATTTTTTGTAGAAAGAACCATGAAAATTACTTCAGTGAAGACCAAACTGAACATGACCCAAATGTCTGAGTAAATGGACAGGAACTTTAAATTAGTGATCTTAACTATGCTCAAATGAGATTTTTTAAAAAATGCCTAACATATACAAAAGGATAAGAAAACTCAGTTCACAAATAGCAACTACAAACAAAGGAAATCCCACAACTGAAAATACAATGTCTAAATTAAAAACTGATTAGCTGAAGTTAACAGAAAAAATGAGACAATAAAGAAACAATGTGTGAACTAGAAGACAGTTCAGTGAAAATCAGTCAACATAGGGACCAGCAGTTAGTGTAATGGCTATGTTGCTGGACTCCCACATAGTCGACTGCTGTTCGCATCCCAGACCCGGTGGCTTAAACTCACGCCGGGCACTTGTGTGTGCTTGTGTGCACAAGATCCCAAGAGGAGAATGGAGGAGAAGGGGCTGTGGCATGGCCATCCCCTCTGGGGGGTGATTTCTCGCTTTCTGTCTCTCTGTCTCTCTCTCTCTCTGTCTGGCGAACACACATGCCCTATAGCAAAAAAAAAAAAAACCTCTCCAAAAAAAGAAAAAAAAATAATCAGTCAACATAAAGAATATAGAGAAACGAAAGTTGATAAAATGTAATGAGCCTCAGGAAATTGTGACAATATAGATAACAAGGGACTACATGGGAGTCTAGCCACATAGCCATTACCCTAACTGCTGGTCCCAATGTGAAGTTCAATTCTGTTTTACTAATAAGTGTGCTTAGATAAATGATTAAAACTCCCAAGTTTCTTTTCTATGTAACAAAGACAATAATATATTTACCTACTCGATTGGGTTCTCATGAGAATGAAATGAGAAAAGCCTAAATGAGGCTAAAAATTCACTTCAAATTTAAGATATTTAGCTTAAATCTAAGTTCTGACATTGGTAGAAGAGATAGCCATTAGAGAAGATGGAAGATGAAACTGAAGAAATGCAGGAGTCTACAAGTTCAGTCAGTCACAGGGTACCAATGATGCTGAAGAATGTGCAGGCCAGCATTCTTGTCACGGGTGTTACATCTACCTATGTGAGTCAAACTGAAAACTCTACGGACGTCTACATGGAACCTTTACTAGCCTATTCACCCTCACACAGCAAAGACAGACATCTTATTTAACTATTAACAATAGTTCAGGATTAAAAATCACTGAACTATAGCCACTCCATAAGCATTTTCCACTTCTTCCCTATCTCCATTTTGAGGGGAAAAAAAATGAGAATTACAATTTAGTTACAAATTTCTAGGTCAAACTCACATTCGATTAATAGCTTCTCTGGCCTACACAGGTTGAGTACCTCTTATCCAATATGCTTAGGAACAGAAGTATTTTGGACTTTGGAATACTATGTATACATAATAAAGATTTCTTGATGATGTTACCAAAATCTAAACATGCATTTATTTACATTCATATAGATCCTATACACACTGCCTTTAGGTAATCTTACATAATATTTTTGTATAGCCATGATTTGACTGTGACCTGTCACATGAAATTGGCTGTGGAATTTTCTACTTGTGGTATCATGTTAGTGCTCAAAAAGTTTTTGGTTTTGGAGTATTCTCTATATTGGATTAAGAATATTCAACCTGGGGACCAACAGGTAGCGTGGTGGTTAAGGGCACTGGACTCCCACATGGCCAACTGTGGTCTGAATCCCAGATTTGGCAGCTTGCTTTCTCTCTTTCTCTCTCTCACTCTGCCACTCTGAAATAAGCAAATAAAGTTAAATTTAAAAATTTTTTTAAAAAAGAATATTCAACCTGTACTAGTATCTTTTTATCCAACACCTAGGTAAAAGGCAAACTAATAATCCATTGCATCCGTGATGCCAAAGGAAACCACCATTACTGTGGATCAGAGCAGGCACACTGGAGTGAACTGCAGAGATGCAAATAACAGTAAATAATGGTAACTGTAAACAGTTCACACAGTACACTGATTTTAAAAACCAGATAATTAACAGTGAGGGTGAAAAAGGATGAACAGATCAGGAAAGCTGGAAACTGAAATTGAAGCAGGAACTATGTACATTAACTTGTTGCTCAGCTAAAAGTTTCGTAAGTGGTTTTGACCACTAAACAGCCAAAGAAACAGTAGAGGCCAAAACTCACATACTCTTTATGTTAATAAATGCTGAATCCAGAGAGTTCTTAGCATGCTCAAAGATGAAATAAAAGGTGGGTGGGATGGAAGCAGTGTGAAAAATCACAGAATAAGACAAAGAAACTACAAAATGAAGACGTAAAGGAAGACCACAGGGAAAATGAGAGAAAAATGTATGTTACCATTTTCTACCACTACTACAATTGAACCCCCATTTCTGTAAAGAAAAACACACACACGATGTATGAATACAGACTGTTTCTGGTCATTTTATATTCTTTCTTCCTTCCTTTCCTCCCTCCCTCCCAGCCTTCCTTCTCACTCTCTCTCTCTTTCTTTCTTTCAATTTGACCAAAGAGGGAAAAATTGAGGGGGGGAGGGAACAAGAAAGCAAGTCGCCAGGTCCAGGACTTCAATTGTGTTCAACTATGTGGGAGTCCAAAACCCTTAACAACCATGCCACCTGCCGGCCCCTCGCTTTACATTTTTTAAACTATTTTTTCTTCAAACACATACTGCTTTAGAAAGTAAGAAAACTAGTTACATCACTGAGAAGCTGTAAAATTTGATCATCTAGTTTCTGAAGTTTCATTTCATTCTGAATATCATCTTCATGATTAATTTTCTCTGGCTCAGTTGGACACACGGATACAAAAGATGTCAAATCATGATCTGCTGGCATACTCCCGAACTGCTCCAAGGGGGCCAACTCATCGATGGGCGGCGCTGCCACTGGCATACTATCAATGATCTGTGACACAGAGAGACCTTTTCATTTGTATTCGTTTACTAATTAAAATGTGAAAGTATCTTTTACATGAGAAAATAAAAAACCAGTACTATACCTCATCCTCACTTATATTGAGGGGAGAATCAGAAGAAGCTAAATTATCCAAAAGACCTTCTAAGCACTGTAGGTGTGATGAATTTATTTCTGTCAAGTTTACTGGTTCGCCAAATATGTTCTTGCAGTCTAAGATCCTAAGCTGTGGCAATGTCTGGAGAATAATTGCTCTGTACCCTTGGAAACAAATAATTTAAAATAAAAATGTAAATATTGCAAAAAGTTTACTTCTAGAGCTATCAGATATATCAACTGAATGAAAAAATTAGCTCTAGAAAGCAACTAATAAACTGGTAATAAATGTTTTGTATTCAGCATCACCAGGATGTAATCACTGAAGAAACAAAACACTCTCTCCACTCCTCCCAAGTCCTCCTCCTGATTAAAGTCAGAAAGTTAAAGTCATCTCTGAAAAAATTCCTTTACATTATAGATGCATGAAACCAGCAGCAATTCATTCTGGGGAAAAAAGTTAAACTTTGTTTTAAATATTATTAGTGTAAACATAAATAACATAAATGAACATAAGTCCATAAATCAACACCATGCAGATGACCACTAAATCACCAAAATTTTCCTAGTGAGGCTAGGATCACGAGTGAGCCCAGTGTATTCAAGTCAACCCGAGATGTGCACCTGGGCCTCCCATGTGGCAAAAGCACTGCCCTACTGTCTGAGCCACTGCAGCTGAGACACATGAAGAAATTCTGTATTATTCTCTTAAGGCTGCACAGTACTAGACTATGACAATATCTCAATGTATAATTTTGAAGCACCCACTTATCAAATCTAAAACTTCTTAAATAGAATTACTGACCTGTTCATCCTGTGTTTCTCTAACCACAATTTAGTTTGTCTTAATAAACTAATTTACTGTAACTATGTTTTTAAAAAAATTATACAAAAATTAAGGCTGAAGTAAAAAGTTAGAACCACCAATTTCAGGAAATAAAGGAGCTTTGACTATTAGCTGTTACAAAAATATTAAATCGTTCATACCTGGTGCATGACAGATAGGATTATCCTCTCCATCTTTCTCCAAAATAAGATTAGTCAGGAAGTGCAATCCCACCATACACTGAAGTAAGTGATGGATACTATCTATACAATTACTATGTAGGTCAATATACCTAAGTTTATGCTTAATTCCATGAAGGGGCATGAACCCTGCAAGAGGAAAAGAACTCTTTTGTCATGTGAGTCATATTTTGAGAAGCAAAGTAGCAACATTGTTAAGATCTTGCTGTGAACACCTACATTCAATGAAGAAGCAATAATGTCCACTGTCATTTTGAAGAATCACAGGTTTAGCATCTATTTGAGGCCTCAGAGTCTATGAAATTTCTGGGCTCTGGTTCTCTTTAAAATGAAATCAAACCATGATAACCTCAAAGGCTTCCTTCTGATTCCAATATAAGTGACTGTGTCTCTCCATCTCCAGCTCCTAATAACCAAGAATCTGATTTCTGTCCCTACAGCTTTGTCTTTGTCAGAACGTCCTGTACACCAAATGGAACCTTACAGTGCTGCCTTTTGTGTTCAGCACCTTTCACTAAGTATAATTCTTTTCAGATTTACTTGTGTTTCTGCATGTGTCACTGTTCATTTTTATTTCCAAGTATTATTATAGGGATCTATCACAATCGGCTTATCCATTTGCCAGATGGTGGCCATATGGGTTGATTCAAATTTTTTGAGATTATGAATAATCATACAAACATGACCAAATAAAAAGTAATGCGATCATATGAACATTTATATATAGATCTTTGCATGGACATGTGTTTTACTTGTTCTTTTTAAAAAAAATGTTGTGGTAAAGAATTATTTTATTTAACTTTATTTATTTTTATTTGCTTACTTTTTAATTTGACCAGAGAGACAGAGTGAGAGAGAAAAAGAGGGAAAGTAAGAAAGCAAGCTACCAGGTCTGGGACTTGAACAGTGGTTGGCCATGTGGGAGTCCAGTGCCCTTAACCACTGCTTCACCTTCCAGTCCCATGTTTTACTTTTTCTAGGGCAAATATCTAGGAGCAGAATTGTATAATTATATGTAAATTTATATTTACCTTCATAAGAAAGTATCAAACTCTTTGCTTCAGTGGTTGTATGATTTTAAATTCCACTAGCAAATGTAAGTAAGCTTTAGTTGCTCTATAACCACATCAGCATTTTATTAGTTAAGATACTTTAGCTAGGGGCCAGCAGGTAGCAGGTAGCATGGTGGTTGAGGGTGCTGGACCCCCACATGGCCAACTGGTGTTCAAATCCTGGATTTGGCAGCTTGCTTTCTCACTTTCCCTCTGCCTCTCTCACTCTGTCCCACATTGGCCAAATTAAAAATAAATAAATAAATAAATACAGTTAAATAAAAATAAAAAGATACTTTAGCTATTTGGGCCTGCCAGGTCATATAGTAGGTTAGGACAGCTGGATCCTCATGGCAAACTGCACCATTCCAATCCTGGACCTGATGGCTTGAAAAACTGTAAGGCATTTGTGCGTGTGTGCCCAAGGTCCCAAGAGGAGAATAGAGGAGAAGAAACTGAAGTGTGGCTATCCCACTTAGGGGGTGATTTCTTACTTTTCCCATCTCTCTCAGGCACATGAACTCTATGGCAAAAAAAAAAAAAAAAAGTAAAAATTTAAATTTTTTCTGCTAGACATGCTTTTATTTGTTTCTTAATTTGCAACAGGCTTTAGAATGTTGCTCATGTACACCATTCGACATGGTAGACAACATTACATATGGCTTTTAATATTCAAATTAAAACTTAAAATTGAATTAAAATGAAATAAAATGACAAATTCAGTCCTGAAGAGCACATTTCAAGGGTTCCATAGCTACATCTGGCCATTGGGTGCATATCACACAGCACATCAGAGTGTTTCGGTAGAACCGTAGCAAGTTCTACTGGAACTATTTCATGATATAATACTGTGCTGATTAACTACCTAACATTAAAAGATAATTCCTCAATATTAAAAAATAATAATAAAAGATTATTCCCGTCATCTAAATCTTTCTCATCAAACTCTTTTTCTGCTACAAATCACCCTAGTTCTTATTCCTATTTTTAACTCAGCTGTGGCTTTTGCAGCAACAAGAGAATTATAAATGAAGTATTTCCAAAATGAGATTTCTGCTTAATAAAACGGATTATTATTCAGAATTTTTCAACATGCTGAGCTAAGTCTAGCTCATCATGTGGCAGACATTCACCATTACAGAAAATATAATCAATATCTACTTACCACTAAGATCATTTATGTGGTTATAAGATAAATTTAAGCGAGTCAGATTAATTAGTGCTTCGAGTCCTAAAATAAAATAAAGCGAAATGAAATAAAACAAAGCTTTTATAGGATTTAAAGAAGGAATCAATTAGAGAGATACAGCACTATAGTGTGATTTCAGACTCCTGGGAGCAAATCCAAAACTGGTACCAATTTTACTGAAAATCTGGTGGTAAAAAGAGATACTTTTTGAAGAAAACATTTTGTGTAACAAAGTTTTAGGGTCAGTTTTCAAAAGTTTGATATATTTATTCCATTCTTTTGAGAAGAAAAATGGGACTTTAATCATGTTCTTTATGCAAAGTATTAAAACAAAAATCATTTACAAACCTTCTACTCTTGTGATCAAGTTGCAGGACAGATTTAAAGTGCATAATTTTGTCAGGGTGCTTAGCCCTTCGATTTGACTTATTTGATTAGAAGATAGATCTAAGTGTCGTAAATTCCAAATATGATCAATAGCTTTGATCTTGGAGATGTTATTGCAATGAAGATTGATGGTATGAAGGGTTGAATCTAGAGATAACTCAGAGATGCTATGAAAGAAAGAAAAATATTTAAAAAAGTAAAAAATTGATGTAAAAAACATAACCAAATAAGTAAAAATAACCAAATGGCAAACAGACAACATATATTCATATATCGTTCTATTACATCTAAAATTAAATACTTTCTTTTTGTGGTGGGCTTTGAAATGTCTTATAAAAGACAGTGCTTTTACCATACAAAGCAGTATTTCAGACCATTTACAGAAACAAGAAACCACCGAAAGGGAGGCAAGGGACTCTCGGCATTTCTGGCTGCTTTGTTCCTACGAAGCCATCAGCGCACAGTGAAGGCAGGACTGCCTACCAATAACTGTGAAGGCACTGGATCCTAGTACTTCAGGTTTAAATATGCATCCTTGCACTTTTTGCTATTCCTAGAACAAATGACTTAACCTTTTAGCTTGCTTAATTCTCCCAAGAGCTCTAAGCAGTAATCAACATAAATGACACTCAAGTTAATGAAAATTAAGTAACTTGCCTACTTTCTTGCAGTTATTATGTTAACAGAGCCCAGATACAAATCCAGATCTCATGCTGGATTATTTTCCTCACCTGTGTACAATGGCTATTCAATCTAGAGTGTAGTGTATTTTAAAAGAAACCACTAGTTACTGCTATATCTAGCCAAAAAGTCCTACTGTTTCCTTGTTGAAAGTTAGAATGCACCTCTTCTAAATAAATAGAACTCATCTCTTCACTCCTCCAATTACTATTTATAAGGAAGCTCTCCTGAAAATAATACTTCCAGGACCACACACTACAGTGTGCTTAAAGAGTTGCAGGATGGATGGAACACAAAATGTCAAATGCATCTAACTGTTGCAGGTTCTGCAGCAGCTCCCAAAAAGTTGTAGAAAGCCTCACTTTGGCAAGAGGGAAATATCTGCAAATTCCAAACTAGCTGCCTATAAATATGACAGTTTGAAGAATTTTCCAATTATTTGGCTTCTGTCATGTACTGAGTTCTTATTTAGTGTCACACCTTATGCTATCAACACATGCTCCTATTGATAGTCATTTATGTTCTGCCACATTTGTTTATAAAATTAACATAGTGTAGATAACACACAAAAAAAGAACAGTAGGAAGATCTGATATTAAAATTATACAGAAATTGGTTTGAATCCATACTTAATTGCTCCTCAGCATAAGGTTGGGCCAATAATTTAGATTCTCTGAGTCTCAGGTTCACTGCTTGTAAAATGAGAAACACCACTTCCTAAGAAGATTAGTGATAACATACATCACATGCACACAAAGATGGCACTCAATAAATATTATTTATATATTATCAAACAAGAAACTTCCAAAAGCTTGTGGGAAAATAGAATAAAGTAAGAGATTTTGGTATAAAATAACTTTTGAAATTCAAGAATAATTTTTTCATAATATTAATTTTCCACGAATGTCTTCAGGAACCTCTGTATAGATGTAAATATTCTTCCTCTCAGGATTTTGGGCATCCACGTGCACGCACCTAAAGTGAGTTTAAGTCGCCAGGTCTGGGGATTCAACAGTGGTCGACTATGTGGGAATCAAGTGACGTAACCATTATGTCATCTGCAGGTCCCTAAATGTAAATATTCTTTTGAAAAACATCTTCCTGGAATTATCTGGCAAATTTTAGATAGAATCCAGAACGAGATGCTGAGTTATCAGTAAGTAGCAAGGGTCACCTAGACGGGGACACTCTATCAAGAAACAGCATAAGGAAAGGCACAGAGAAACCTACTATGGAAGTGCCTGCAGTTCAGCTTGGCAAGCTACAAAGTGTTAACTGGAAAAGGGTTAAGCACTGAGGCTAAAAATCTAGGCAGGGACCTATCAGGAATGCAGAGCCGAGAGTCTCACAGGCCAAGCACTAGTCTGCACTGTATAAGGGAGGAAAAGCGTGCACGATGCATGTATAGTGCTTTCAGAAGGTATATGCGTATCTATGTATTGCAGAACCCGGTAAAGGAGAAGTTAGAATGGGGGTAAGAGGGCTGGGACAAAGCCAGTGAGGAGCAGAAACGCTCGTTCTACAGCAGCCAAAGACGATCGTGGACGATCTTACTCTTTTTCAGGGTAAGAGAACTAAAGAAACTAGAGAGAGCACAGGATGATCAACCATTAAATGGCAAGCAGGGAATAACCAACAATAAAGGAGAACGGACAGAAGAAACCAAGAGTGGTCAAAGAGGTTGGTGGAGAACCAGGTCGCCGACGACTTCCAGGGTGGGCAGAGCAGTACAGAGCTGGGCAGAAATCAAAGGGTGGGGAAAGAATGAGGGCTCGCTCTAGTCGGCCTTTAGCGAGGGCCGTCCTGGCGAAGTACAGTACTCGGAAATCAGAGCCGGTCTGAGTGGGTCTTGGGAACGCAGCTCCGCGCCTCGGCTTGGCTGAAG